CCGTTGCCCCCCCCCCCCCCCCCCCCCCCCCCGTCTAGATGCGGGAGCATGCGTCAGTGGGTTTTTTCCCCCCCTTCTCAGTTTGGGCATGTGCACAGGCGGCCATCTGTAGAACTAAAATTTTTGCGCGTGCGCAGAACAGCGATTTCCACTTCAACCCAACTGCTGTAACACTTCCCTTTAAACTTTAAAGGAACACTTCCCTTTAAACATTTACCCAGAAACTGGCCTCCGTGAGATCCCAAACTCATCTAACGAACAAAACTAGGCACCGCTTAAACATTGTTTTTAATAACGCGGGAGCGGAGCTCCGCCTGCGCGCATACCGCCGATGCTAAAATAAAATGGTGGGCAGGCAAAGAGCGAAAGCCTTGGGCTTCCGAGCGGAAGTGGCTCGACACCGCAGGAACGATCAGACATCAGAAAAGTGCGGCTAGAACTGGAGAATCAGGAAAACACCACTTGGGGACCTGGTAACAAAATACTCCATTTTAAAGGGGGTTTGAGCAGGAAAGCGATGGCTGGGGATGGTGCAAAGATGTTGGGTGTGTGAACATGGATGTAAAATCCGTTACTGAAGCGTGCCGAAAGCAGACTAAATAGACCATCTGAACACACCCTTGGTGCCAAAGTCTCCTCTCACTCTCTTGTTTGGACGGGGCAGGAGCAGTGTGAAAGTTGAGTAGATGAAAAGGTTTGGAGGTAATTTGGATTGTTAGCTTATTACTATTTATTATTACTTAGTTTGTAAACGCAAGGCTTTAATTTTCTTTTTGATTTGCAACAGTTTAGACCTTGTTTTGACCTGTTTCAACTATGGTTTTGGTTTGTTTGATTGTTTACTCGCCTGAGTAAGCTTGGCAGTATTTGATTGCCATTCGGTGGGCTGTGTTTTTTGCACTCAAGTTTTATTTATTTTGTTTGTAATTTTTGTGAGCTGTTTTGGGTGGCTTTGGGTTACTTTTCTTCATTGCACTATGTTGGAACTGACTTTACTGACTGTTTTGGTTGTTTTTAGTTGCCAGGGTAGATAGCAGTGTTCCATCTCCTTCGCTCTTCTTCTCACCTCCTGCTCTGCGAATTAGACTAGGGAGTGGTGAAAGACTAGTTTTTGAGAAAAGAAGATGAAATTAGTTTAGCAATTCTCTGTGCAGTTATCCCTCACGTACATATGTTATGGTTCTGAAACTTTTGTGCCAACTCACAGAGGTTTTATTGTATATGTCCCAGATATTTCGATTCTCTGAACTTTTAGCTATATTTTACCTTGTTAGTATTTTTAGTATATCTTGATCCTTAGTTTTTAGCTATCTAGTTCTAGTCTTGTAATATTATCACTGAGTTTCTGGCAGGTTCCTTTTCTGGAAAGGTATGATTAGTGGGTGTACAGCAGCCCTGCATGGTCTTGATCCACTTACCTTGTATGCACCTACCTATTTAGACTGCTATCTAAATAAGCTGAGCCCGCCTTGGTGAGAAGGGCAGGGTATAAATCGAACTAATAAATAAATTAACTAAATAAATTGATTCTGACTGTACGTTTTTTCTAAACAGGCCAAGTTTTTAAAAAAATAAATCACAATTTTCTTCTTTGGTAGGAGCAAAGGGCTGGACGGGACACCACAATTCTGTTCTACTAACACAGTTGTTTTCCTTAAACAACCTCTTGTGTCAAAGTCAGGTTACTTCCACTGAAAGAAAGCACCTCTGGTGTTTGAAAGAATATGCAGGATCCATCCGCAGAATTTTAAAAAGCCTGATAAAATTGCCACATTTGATTGTAATTATAGACCAAGGGTGGAAAAAAAAATCACAATACTGTTTGGCTCACAACCATTTCTTTAAAACAGTAAATAAAGTCTGAGGAAATGACAGTATTAGGAATTAGCTTATATGCTATGCCAAATTTAGTTCTAGGACTCCATTGGAATTATGAAATTAGTTTAGCAATTCTCTGTGCAGTTATCCCTCACGTACATATGTTATGGTTCTGAAACTTTTGTGCCAACTCACAGAGGTTTTATTGTATATGTCCCAGATATTTCGATTCTCTGAACTTTTAGCTATATTTTACCTTGTTAGTATTTTTAGTATATCTTGATCCTTAGTTTTTAGCTATCTAGTTCTAGTCTTGTAATATTATCACTGAGTTTCTGGCAGGTTCCTTTTCTGGAAAGGTATGATTAGTGGGTGTACAGCAGCCCTGCATGGTCTTGATCCACTTACCTTGTATGCACCTACCTATTTAGACTGCTATCTAAATAAGCTGAGCCCGCCTTGGTGAGAAGGGCAGGGTATAAATCGAACTAATAAATAAATTAACTAAATAAATTGATTCTGACTGTACGTTTTTTCTAAACAGGCCAAGTTTTTAAAAAAATAAATCACAATTTTCTTCTTTGGTAGGAGCAAAGGGCTGGACGGGACACCACAATTCTGTTCTACTAACACAGTTGTTTTCCTTAAACAACCTCTTGTGTCAAAGTCAGGTTACTTCCACTGAAAGAAAGCACCTCTGGTGTTTGAAAGAATATGCAGGATCCATCCGCAGAATTTTAAAAAGCCTGATAAAATTGCCACATTTGATTGTAATTATAGACCAAGGGTGGAAAAAAAAATCACAATACTGTTTGGCTCACAACCATTTCTTTAAAACAGTAAATAAAGTCTGAGGAAATGACAGTATTAGGAATTAGCTTATATGCTATGCCAAATTTAGTTCTAGGACTCCATTGGAATTCTGCCCAGTGACATAATGTCTGAATTTATGCCATTTCTTTCAAGTGCTTGATAACTGAGATGCCTGCCAAAAGAAATATACTGAAAATATAAAGATGGGGGACGGGGGATCTATTTATTTTGACAGCTAAATTTAGGTGAATTTTTAAAGCTCCATTTAGCGCTATCATTTATGTCGTTATACTTTTTTTCCCCCCCCCCCCAAGAAAGCATGTGATGTGAAGGGCACCACAGTTAAAAGACAGTGCGGAATCCTGTACTTTGTCATCTCATATGTAGGCCTGTTTATTTCAGTGGAGCCAATATTTGAACCCCAGGAAATGAAGTACACAATTCCTTTAAAGAGGAAATAAAACAGTGTTCACAAATACATTGAGGGAAAGGGCATGAAAGAAGATCTGTGTTTCTTCAGGAAAGATGAGGGATATATTTAGAAGTAGTGGGACTTGCATGGCATGGAACTTTAAGCCTCATTATTGATATGATTTGAGTTTAATCCCAACCTTCCTCCAAGAAATGCAAGGTAGCAGAGATAATTCTTGCCTTCCTCCATTTTACCATCAAAACCACTGAGTCTGAGGTTAGGGTGATACAGAGTGACTGGGCAAAGGTCACTCAGGAAGCTTCTGTGGCAGATTTGAACATTTGAGGAGAAGCTGTGGCTCAGTGGTAGAGCATCTGCTCACCATGCAGAAGGTCACAGATTCAGTCCCATCATCTCCAGTTTAAAGGGTTAGGTAGTACGTGATACAAAAAACAGCTTCCTGGAGAAAGTCCTGCCAAGCTGAGATGACTATGCTGACCTTGATTCTGACGGTCTGATTCAGTTGAAGGCAACCTCATGTGTTCCACAGGGGCCTCACGGTTCCTAAACCTCCCCTTATTATCAGTCTGTATTTGTGTATTACAGATCTGTGACAATTCAGAACTGTATTGAAATGAGGTTCAGCTGCTCAAAAAAAATCCTTTTTTATGCATGTTCCAAAAAATGTAAACTATGAAGTAGAGATAATAATCTCTGTCTGAAACACACTGTAGATATACACCAGGGAGCCATAGCCAATTTTAGCTGTCTGGGGATTGTCTGTTGCAAATCTCTAAGTATCTGGAGATTTGTATCTCTCCTAATTTACATCTGTACTGCGGTAAACACTAGACAAAAAAAAAATGGTGCATCCACAGTGTTGTATGAAGAGTGAGCTACATCTTATGAATAAATGTTTTAGCTGCCCTTCAGAGATTGTATTTCCTCACAATTGTGTAATTATGCAGCGAGCCAAAGCGTGAATGTCATTAAGTTACTGAATGAGAGTCCATCAGGCAGGAAAGGAAACTTGAAATTTAATCGAAAAGGTGCTTCAACTGAGGTTGATCTCTCAGGGAGGAGACATTTAGTGATGCCAAGCCCTGGCTGGGGCTTGGGACCCAGTGCCCCAAGTTCCCTTTGGGAAAAATTAAAAGAAATCTTAAAAATTAATAAAAACTCACCATCATCACCCATGAAATGATGTCATTTCTGGTGAATACCTGGAAGCAACTAGAGAGTTTCCAGTAATAAGAGTTTACGATAGAGTTTCTGGTGATTCCTAGAGCTACCACTGTTGCTTCCAGATGTACCTCAGAAGTGACGTTATTACACTGCTGCTTACACCACCATATCCCTGCTTCCCCTATTAATTACATTTAGGGGGTTGGCAGGGGCATCCTGCTCCAAATCACCATTTCTGATCTAAAAAGTGATCCACAAAAACAGTTGGCTGAGGCTCATCCTTCAGCTGAAGTGTGCCCTTTTCAATACTGCAGTCCACCCTCCAGTAACTGAAGACAGCCATAGTGTGTGCCGCACATTCAGTGTCAAAGGGCTGTCATGTCTTTAAGCAAAGAGGTGATTTCGTTTAAAAAGGGCAAACATAATTTTCTTTTAGGGAAGGGACAAGACAGGAATAACGATTGTCTTATTTCCAACAGATAACACAGCGAGCGTTATCACGAGACGCACAAGCTTCAGTCGACAGATGCAGGATTTATACCTTCTGCCTATTGTGATAAGTGATGGTGGGAGCCCTGCGCTGAGCAGCACCAACACGCTCACAATCCGAGTCTGTGGTTGTGACGGCGATAGGATCTCGTGCAATCCTGAGGCCTACACCCTTAATGCGGGACTCAGTACTGGGGCTTTAATTGCAATCCTTGCTTGCATTGTGATTTTGTTAGGTAAGGAGGTCTCTGCATTTTGTTTATCCTTTCTGTTCCCCTACTTCCCCTTCCATCCAAATGGACTGAACCACAGGAGGCACAATTCAGTGAGATGCTTCATTTAAATCAATAGGTCTGAGGTCTAGTTCTCACAAACCGGGGGGATGGATCCAGACAAATTTTTTCTGCTAATAGGAGATGAAATGTCTTCCAATTTCTCCTTCCTGCAACAGACTCCTGATTGGATTCTCATGATGTTCACGAGGGTCCCCTGACTCCACAAGAGAAGCATTTGGGTGAGATCAATGAGCTGCAGTAAGAGGAAAAAATAAGGAAAGTTCTGTTCTGATGACAGAAGTGCCATCCATCAGTGAAAAATTTAGTCTGGATCCAACCCCATACCCAGGGCTTATTTTGTAGAAAAAGCCCAGCAGGAACTTATTAGCATAATAGGCCACACCCAACAGCAGAAAATCATTAGCATATTAGGCCACACCTTTGACAGCACAGCTCATTAGCATGTTCGGCCGCACCCCCACGTTACCAGAACTGTGGTCATCCAGCCACACCCACCTTTTGCTTCTTATTCTGTTTACCTTGTTTGTTGTCAAAACCCAGGGCTTTTTTTGTAGCAGGAACCCTTTGCATGTTAGGCCACACACCCCTAATGTAGCCAATCCTAATGAGTTCCTGCTGTTGGGTGTGGCCTACTATGATAATGAGTTCCTGCTGGGCGTGGCCAACTCGGGAGCCAGCCGGAACTCCGTTCCTGTGCGTTCCTGCCCAAAAATAGCCCTGCCCATAACACTTCAAACTGCAAAGGAAGGGCTTGCTTGCTGCAGTGATTCCCCATGTGGGAAGAACACCCATATCTATCTCTGTGTAGAAGATTAGCATGTCAGAAAGATGGTGAGACTAGAACATTTCTTCCTGGCATGTAGTTTTCTGCGTTTAGGAGTAGAGATGGGCATGAACCAGGAAAATGGAGATTCATCCCGGTTTGTGGGGTCTCACAAACCTTAATAAACCTTCCCGTTTACTGAACTGGTTCATTTTGTGAGGTTTGTGATGTGATAGAATGGCCCTTCTGTGAGGTAGAGATGCCAAACTTGCAGCAAGTCTCCAGTTTACCTGCCCTTCAAGTTTGTGATGATCGGGTTTAGGGGGGTGAGTTAAAGCCCCCCCCCCAAAGCAGGCGCCCCCAGGAAAGTGCTCTCTGGGGAAATCACAGCTGCAGGTTCAGGAGCATGTTGAACGGACCCCCTGCAAACTAGAGGCATCAAACTCACAGAGGACTTCCCCAGGGTGTCCTTCTACCTGCCCTCCCAGTTTAGTGAGGATTGGCTGTGGTGGGCTGAGTTGTGCCCCCCCCAAGCAGGTGACCCCAGGAAAGTGCTTTTTGGGAAATTACATCCTCGGGTTCAGCTAAAGAACCCAGTAGCTAAGCCCCTCTGCTCGGCTTGAGCAGAAGGACAGGTGCCTCAGAGCCCTGAGTAAGCACCAAATACCCCCAACCTCACTGTTCACACTGAGGAATGACTTCCAGTTCCCTTCCCTCTCTGCCTCTAACTCCCTCTCTGCCAAGTAAAAACAGTTGTGTGTGAGCTGGGGGTATATATCCATTCTGCTCCCATAGAACAGAATGTGAGCTCTCTTGTTGTCAGCCAGTGCTGCCTGTCAAGCTTTGGTGTTTCCAGGGCTTGAGAGGGGCTGCAGAAGTCCACCCCCCCCGGTTGCTTTGATGATCAATTGATTGGCACCAGCATGTCTGCCACATGAACTGCCAGCGGTAACCACATGACCCTCCATAAAAACCATGAAGGTTTGTGGGAGGTTCACTGCAGTCATGATTGCATGAACCACAAACTGGGCAATTTTCATGACGAATTTAGGTTCATGACGAGGTTCATGCCCATCCATATTTAGAAGTATTTGTTGTTGTTGCGTGGGGTCTGTGTCCACATGTTCAATCTGAATTGGAGGGGACTAGCTATATGGTTGGTCTAACCATCTTTTTAGCTGTTAGAAGAGGCCTGGGTATCCTTTTTTGAGAGGCAGGTAGGGAGGCTTTCCAGAAACAGAAAGAAACATGTTGAGGCCTGTTTCAATCTAAGCCTAACCTGGGAATCCAATTATTTTCCAAGCACTCATCAGAATCCATGAAATTAATCTGTGACTTGGGGCATCCTTTTATTAAAGCTCTTTCTATACAAAAGTACAGGAAGGACGTTATTGATCTATTAGGTCTTTTAATAAGTAAATAAATAAATCTCTCATTTGTGTTTTTCCCCCCTCATCAGTGATTGTAGTGTTATTTGTAACACTGAAACGGCAAAAGAAAGAGCCCCTCATTGTCTTTGAAGAAGAAGATGTACGAGAGAATATTATCACTTATGATGATGAAGGGGGCGGGGAGGAAGACACTGAAGCTTTTGACATTGCAACTTTGCAAAACCCAGATGGCATCAACGGATTTATTCCTCGCAAAGACATAAAGCCCGAGTATCAATACATGCCCAGGCCAGGGCTTCGGCCTGCTCCAAACAGTGTTGATGTTGATGACTTTATCAACACAAGAATACAAGAAGCCGATAACGATCCGACGGCTCCTCCCTATGACTCTATCCAGATCTATGGCTACGAAGGGAGGGGCTCAGTGGCCGGTTCACTAAGCTCTTTAGAGTCAGCAACGACGGATTCCGATTTGGACTATGACTATCTACAAAACTGGGGACCTCGTTTTAAGAAACTAGCGGACTTATATGGCTCCAAAGACACTTTTGAAGATGATTCTTAACAATAATGTTTCAGATTTGGCCTTAAGAACTGTGTCTAACATTCTGGAAAAAAATTCAGAGGAAAAAAATGTAAGCAGGTATTTTTTAAAATAAAATAAGGAAAGGTTCATAGAAAACATTTAGGTTTGACAGAGACGGGGGAGGGTCCTTTCGTATAAAGAAGGAACAAAAAGGACATCAAAGTGGTGAATACTGTGAAGTACCTTTTCTTGCAAAAGGCAAAATACAGAAGTTGGTTATCAACTTCAGTAGAAGGGGAAAAAAATAACCACTTGTGAAATATAAAATATTTAAGAAAAGGGAAAATTCTAAAAGTCATCAGAGAATCGAGGGCAATCTTTCCCCCCCTTTTTCTTCTCTCTCTTTTTTTTTTGGTGTGTATTACGAACAGCTAAGTCTTTTATGTCAAAGAAGCTTCCACAAATTAGAAAGGATCACAGTTCTGAGCTGTAATTTCGCCTTAAACTATGGACACTCCCTACGTAGTGCATTTTTAAACTTGAAATATATAATATTCAGCCAGCTTAAACACATATGATGTATGTACAGGACAATGTACAATTTTGTCTCTTGAGCATCCAACTTGTTTCTGCTGACTCTTGTAAATCTTTTTTGCTTATACTTTCATCTTAATCTAATACGTGCCAGATATATTAAAAAAACTCTGTCTTGTTGCAGTGGGAGGCGCCCTATTTCTATGTCATTTTTAAATGTATCTATTTGTACAATTTTAAAGTTCTTATTTTTAGTATACATACAAATATCAGTATTCTGACATGTAAGAAAATGTTACATCACACTTATATTTTATGAACATTGTAATGTTGCTTTAATATGGGCTTCAATATACGAAGCAGACTTTGAAATAAAAAAAGGATTCGTTTTTTAATTCTCGCTTTTGTTTATTAAATGTTTAAAAGGAAAACATTGTTCCCAGTGCTCTATTTACATATGTATCTCTCTAAACTACCAGTCTGACTTTTTAATAGCCCTATTTGTTATGTGTTTGTTGCTAAAACTGTCTTGTTAAGTGATTATTTAAAATCAATTATTATTTTTTGAATGTGTATGGGGATTCTTTTAAAGAGAAATACTTGTAAAGTCTATATAGAGCTTATGGCTGCTTCAAGAGCACAGTAGCAGCTTGAATAAGGGTGCTCTGGATTCAGTTCAGTTTCTTCTTTCTAAGTACTGCCATGTTATACGCATGTATCTTACCTCTTAATAATCCCACTGGCTTCCATAAATGGCATTATGATGTGCAGACGTGTTCTGTACTTATAATTGCCTTCTTGCTTATTAAGCTGAATATCCGTTTTAGGATTCTGTGGGCTGAAAGAGACTTAAACCTGGGCCTCACCCCATTTTAGGTTGCTAAAGATTTTGTATCCAACTATTTACCCTAATATTTGTATTAATTTTGGCTTGGAAATGTAAGTATTTAGTTTGCTGAAGTGGTATCATCTAGTTTTTTATTATTATTTAAAACAAGGGGTGGGAAACATAGAAGTGGTTTGTTTTCTTTATTCTTTTAGGATATGCTTTTAATTTAATAATAGAAAAGGTTCTATAGATTAGTTCTGGATTCGTTTTAGACAGCGGAGCAGATGGTGCTCAACTGTGTGTTCAGCATCTGGACACAAAAGTAAAGATACTACATTTAATATAACCAGTAGAGAAAGGTTAGAGGTCTGCAAATACAATATAGGGTGAGGTCATATTGGCAGCCAAACCTATTTGTTAATGTCTTTTAGGAACTTTAGGGCGGGAAATCTCCATTATGGATACCAATTGCCAAAATTTGTAAAACTTGCCTTGTTTACAGTAGTATGAAGTTCCATATGTATTTAATTTAAATTTACTCAAGAAAGAGAATAGACTGGATCCCAACCTTTCCCCCCCACCTGCCAATAAAAGGCATTTCTCCAGATGAGGGGAGGGATTCTACTGACTTTCACTCACTTTGCTGACCCCTATTTCATATTCACACTGTCCCTGATGGTCAACTGTCCCCCAGGACCAGGGTTTAGAAGAATTCAATGGTCCACTACAGGATAGTGGAGTCAGAAAAGTTCCATTTCACTAGTGGAACTCTATTGATGGTACTTTGAATCCAACCCAGAATCATTGTCTTTTGCCATTGTAGTCCTAATATTAGGTGGGTTTTCCCCAAGTTATATGAGTATGAGGGAAAACTGTACTACTATACTATGTCTTATCCCAATATGATGTATGAGTAGATAGACAGATCAATATGTTCTCTATATTTCCATGCTTAGTTCAAATTTCTTCAGTTGTTGTAGTTGTTGTTTTTCTATTTTTATAATCCAAAGACTATTTTGCTATATTTGCACATTTCTTCAATATGAATTTAAAAAAAAAATTAAAATAGCAATCGATGTAGAGGAAAAGTAAATCTGCTGTTCGAGGTGTCATCACCACCTTCATCTTCATCATGACAATACTTTTTTGACATCAACATTTTTGCAACTTGCTAATGTACATTTTGACTGCATTGTTAGGCAAACCTTAACACTTTTTTACATGCTTCTGTTTAATTTCAAAGGCAAAGAAAGACATTGTCAACTACTTTTTAATAAGTTTAAATATTTGGGGCTTTTTTAGTATCTGTAGTCCTTCCCCTCTTTTTACAAGTTTGAAAATAAATTTACTTTTCCTGCTAGTACTGTCTTTTTGTTTTAAATTTAGCTACCAATGTGGGATTGGATCCAAAGGTCATTTTCTGTTGACGGAACACGCTTCCATCACAGAATAAAGAGTGATTTTCTCCTTTTCCCACTTCATGGCCCACATTGTTCCTAATGTCCACTGTTCCCCGGGAACGGAGTTTTGGGGAGATTTAGTGAGCTGCAATGGGATGCAGGAAAGTCCTGTACCTTTGGTGGAGTTCTGTGTCTTCAGTGGAGCTTCACTGATGGTATTTTGGATCCAACCCAGCATTTACATTTACCCCAAGTGTTATTCCTGCATATTAAAGATTAGCTCATTGATTTTGTTGGATCCCTTTTTTTAAACATTGCTGATGATACCTACAAAATTGATGAAATTGTGTATTAGACTCCTCAGTGACTCAACAGAGCTATTTATCTTTCCTTTGTTCTTATACTTTGACCCCCTTTATACATACCTCAACTATCAAGGTTCTCGGTGTGGTTGGTTCCGCAACAGTATGGATTGATGTTAAACGTTTCACCCATGTGGGTCTCTGTGACTGTGTTTCACATATGATAGAAGTAATGTCCAGCACTGTTGGAACATATGCTAAATGTACTATCAGAAATACCACTTGGGTGAAAGGAAGCCTTTACCTTGGTTCTATGGGAACAGCCTCAAACTGTATATATAAAGGGTGCCTTATTGTTATGACTGAAGCTATTCCAATGTAATCTATGAATCTGAAGAACTCCTCCACACCATATGTTAGCAAAAGAATAGGTACAAGTTGTTTTTAGGCTCATGGGGTTGTGTCCAATCAGGTTTTCTGCTGGTGAGAAAGGAAGGAAGGGTCCCCTTGGACCACCCAAAAAGGCTGTGCTGGGTATCATGATACCTTCCCAGACAAAAGCCATGCAGAATAGGTGCTGTAATAAGGGGAGAAACTGAATGAGATTGAATCATGCTCTTACCCATGGAAAGGTAGGGCCTTATACAGAAAGGCATTCATTCTTGCTGATACAAGCCCTTCCAAACACTTATACTAGGAATTCCTTCAATCTCACAGATCTCAATAACAATATTAAAAAATCAGTCGGTATTCTGCATGTTTAAATGTTAACATTTTCATGCTTTTGGAAATGTCACCCCCTGTCTCACCACCATCACCATTCTCTAGTAAACAGACATACATGAAAATAGGAAATTGCCTTGTCCCAAATCAGACCATTGGTTCATCTACTTTAGCATTGTCTATTTCAACTGGCAGAAGCTCTGAAAGATCTCGGAGTTGGGGAGAGAAAGAGAGAGATTTTTCTCCCCCTAAACCTGATACTTTGAATCCTTTGGAGAAGAGAAGAATTAAACCAAGGCTGTTTCCACACCCGTCATTTCCTCTGCTTTCTCCGTCACCTTTTCTATTGTGTTCTGCTTTTCCCCCTGCTTTCGCCTCACATGTGTGTCGGCTTTTGTTGCTGCTTCTGCATTCCTTCTCCCCTGTTCCACTTTCAATTAGCTGAATCCCTGGCTTTTCCGGATCCTGTTTTGCCACAGACTTTTTTCTTGCTCCATTTTCAAGTCGAGGGTATTTCTAATGTAGACATTAATCCTTAGATACTGAATCACCACCCACCCTTTCCCCCACTCCGTCCCCTTTTTTGTCAACCCCACCACCAATATTGGGGTTTGTTGTTCCACCCACTCTGCACCTTCCTCCCTGCTTCAGCTCCAGTACTGCGAGGGTTTCCCATCTTTTTAATTTCATTATTTTTAACAAGCCCTTTTAATCTAGCAAAATGATCACTAAACCATGTTTGGTGGAGAAAGAAAGCATTAGCAGGGGATGCTTTAACAGTCTGGCTGCAGTTAAAGGGGAGGTGGCAGACAGGGTTCTTAGAGATGTTTGAGACCTTGGTGAAAAATGATGCTTTTCTCCCCCCCCCGCCTTCATTCTCTTGTGCTCCCCCTCCCCAACTTTCAGTGGACTGCCTTTTCCCTATATGTAGCAGTGTGATCCCTAGGGATTTCACCTTCTCATGTTTTGATCACTAAACTTTGTTCAGTGGAGAAAGAAAGCATTAGCAGGGGATGCTTTAACAGTCTGGCTGCAGTTAAAGGGACATTTGAGAACTTGGTAAAAAAAGTGATGCTCCCCCCCCCCCCCACTTGTTCATTCTCTTGCACTCACCCGCCCCAACTTTCAGCAACTCCCTTTGCCCTACACGTAGCAATGTGATCACTAGGGATTTCACCTTCTCACTTTTTTCCATGTCCTTGTGCAAAATACCTTCCCCAAGAGAGACACCAAGGAGCTGCGGTGGCTCAAGTGGTTAAGACGCTGAACTGCAGGCTGTGGAAGGTCAGTAGTTCAGCAGTTCGAGACCCGAGCTGCCACATGACGGAGTGAGCTCCTGTCTCTAGTTCCAGCTCCTGCCAACCTAGCAGTTCGAAAGCAAGAAATTGCAAGTAGATAAATAGGTACCACTTCGGTGGGAAGGTAACAGCGTTCCGTAGAGTTAAAGGGACATTTGAAAACTTGGGAAAAAAAAAAAGTGGTGCCCCCCCCCCCCCCCCCCTGTTCATTCTCTTGCACTCGCCTTCCCCAACTTTCGGCAACTGTCTTTGCCCTACATGTAGCAATGTGATCACTAGGGATTTCACCTTCTCACTTTTCCCCATGTCCTTGTGCAAAATACCTTCCCCTAGAGAGACACCAGGAGAATGGCTGCTGCCCGTGCAGCATGGGAGAGGGCTCTTTACCAGCCAGACCCCTGGTCTGGAGCCAGAGTGCCAGCAGCAGCTGCCCCTTGCCTGTGGTAGCTCCCAATTTCCAGACACCGTGAAACTGCTTGGGGGATATACGAGGAGAGGCAGTCCTGAAGGTAGGTGGGTCCCAGACTCTTAAGGGCCTTAAAGGTAAGCATCAAAACCTTGAACCTGATCTGTTGCTCAGCTGATAGCCAGTGCAGCTCACACAGCACAGGTCGAATGTATGCTATTCATGGCGTCTCTCATTTGGACCAGCTGAAGTTTCTGGGTCAGTCTCAAGGGTAGGCCCATATAGCGGTAGTTACAGTAGTTCAATCTGGAGGTAACTGTTGCATGGATTACTGTGGCTAGT